TCTTTTATTAGTATATAATATATAATAAATAAATAGAGAAGGATATACTCTTAAGAACCTTAGTCTAAGCTAAGGCTTAAGAAGAGGACGCTTTCACAAGCTTCTAGGTAGTAGTAATCTTCTACTAATAAGAAGGAGTAAACTTAGTAGCTTTATTATTATCTTACTTTTAGAAGAAGTGCTTCTTATATACCTACTTAATTATAGGCTTTTTAGTACTAAGACTAATAAAGTGAGAAGGCGTTTACTCTAAAGATCTAAGGATATTATTATAGTTATACTAGTTAGCTATCTTTTCTATTAAGGCTACTATTATTAATATAATATAGGATATATTCTGAGGAAGGATTAATAAGTCTTTTTTAGGTTTTAGAAGAAATAAGTAAGGTTAGTCTATTATAATAAATATAAAGTAGGGTAGTTTACTATAATAAATATAAAGTTAAATAGGGAGAAGGTAAATATTAAAGGGAAAGTGAAATAATATTAGATATAAATATAATAAGAGTATATATATACTAAAGAAGGTATAAGGATAATAAAGAAAGTAAAAGTATTATTAGATATTATAGTCTTTTTTAGGAAGAATAGAATAAAAAATACCTTTAAGATAATATCTTTTATTATATAAGATATATTAATATAATATATAAAAAGGTAAGCTATAATAAACTATTCTACTTAAATATTTTATATTTATTATATAAAGTAGTCTTTAATATTCTATAAATAGTATTAATAAGGTATTTATTTAGTTTTAATATTTAACTAAAGCTACTTATTAATTCTACTTATAACTTAATAGCTTTTAACTATTTTAGATACTTAACTATACTTAAAGTTATAATTAAGTAGCAGATATATATAAAAGATATACTTTTTTTTCCTCTTTTAAATAATACTATATATACTCTACTTATAGGAATATTAGAAATATTATAATAATTTCTAGTTATCTATATAAAGGCCTGTTTTCTACCTACTTACTATTATTTCCTTTCTCTTCCTATAAATATACTATTAAAGATAAAACTAATAGACTTAGAGTTTTTTCTCTATCTTTATAGTATTTAATACTATCTTTACTAATACTAGCTTTAGTAATATACTTTTTATAAGAATAAATAGACTAAGTAGTAGAGTAGTATTAGTAAACTATAACTAATAATACTAATATTCTAGAAGAAAGGCTATAGGTAGCTTTTCTATAGAGAGTATTCCTCTAAGTGTTAGAAACTATACTAACACTATATTTAAACTTAAAGGGTCTAAGCAGATAAACTACTTTATACTTCCTCTATTTAAGTTATAATATAATAGAGGATAATATAAATAGCTCTATTACTATTTAATATTATAATCTCTAATAAGTTACTATAAAGTTACCTTAAATAGTAGAGCTTACTAATACTAAATAGTAGTATAATAACTAATTTATAAAGTTAGCTAGTGTTTTATAGTAAGTTTAAACTATTTATACCTAATATATAAGCTTATTATTATTATTACTATTACTCTATATAAAACTCTACTTCTCCCTTTAATAAATACTCTTCCTCTAGTTTAATAGCTTTCTCTTCCTTTAAAGAGTAAATAATACTCTTTTATAAAACCTCTAAGTAATCTTTTTAGTATAGAATACTTTATAATACTAAGAGCGAGGATATTAAATTTATAAGGTGAAATTTTAATAAAGTTAATAGTATATTAATATATAATAACCTCTAAACAGCTAATATAGTTAGTATAGCCTTTTAGTATAGCCTTTTAGCGTAAAGTAGTTAGCTTAAAAAGTAAGCGCTTTTTTATTTACTTATCTTACTAAGAAACCTCTTTTTATAAGAGAAGAAGCTTATAAACTCTTTTCCTACTTAGCCTATTTATACTTATACTATTATTCCTACTTAAAGATAAAAATACTAGCGCTATAATTAAAGAGGCTAATCCTATTATTATTATCTTTATTATTACTATTATTAATAATTAGTTTTAGTATAGCTTTCTAGCATAAAGTAGCTAGCTTAAAAGGTAAGCACTTTTTTAGCTTTACTATATCTACTATTATAATATAGCTAGTTTTTAACCTCTACGCCTAAGTAACTATTATTAGGGATAAATAAGCAGGTAAGATTTCCCTATAACTATAATAATTTCTATAAGATTTCTTAGGTAGAATTTAAAACCTATTAAATAGATTTAATTAAAGACTTTTACTAAGGATATATATATTTAGTCTTAATTATTAATACTAATAGCTCTCTTTAGTATAACACTTAAGAATTAGATTAGGTTTTAGATAATTCTACCTAAATTAGTAAATATTATTATACTATAGGAATTTATAAATAAGATTATAGGCTTTTTTGAGAAGTATAATAAGGATTTAGTAGAAGCTATATTAGCCTTTTAATTAAATTTATAGTATAACTATAGCTCTCTTTATATAACCTAACTATATAATGCTCTCTAGCTAGTATAGAATAAACTAAGTAATTATATATAATTACTTATAATTATTATTATCCTTATCGTTCTTATTATCTTTATCGCTCTTATTATCCTTACTATCCTTATTATCCTTATTATCCTTATTATCCTTATTATCCTTATTATCCTTATTATTATTACTCTAAGTAGCTTAGATTGAGGTTAAGTAATTATATATAATTACTTAACTTCTTAAGGTATTAACTTATATTTATATTAAAGCTAGAGAGTATCCCTTTTAGATAAATATATCTAGAGAAACTTTTAAATAGAAAAATTACTTTATTCTATCTTATTTATAAACCTCTTTCTTAGATATCTCCTACTATAGATAACTTTTATAGTTAAATATTTAATTATTTTAATTACCTTAATTTACTCTTTCTAATAGTGAAATTACTAACTATANTAATTACTTATAAAGTTATAAAGAGTTAAAGTTTCTATATCTAAATAATTCCTTTAGTAGATACTTTATAGTTATTTATATTATTATAAAGTAATATTGAGGAAGTATATATAAAGAGTATATATAAAGTATCTCTAAAGATATAATACTACTTTAGAAGTAATACTTTATTTTAACTAAAGTAAAATAAAAGATTAATTAAAAAAGTAAAAAATTAATTTAATAGAATAAATCTATTAAATTAATCTTAAAGAATAAACTAGAAATTAATAAGATCTTAAATCTAACCTTATTATAATTAGTAGATAGAAGATAGGTAAGTCTAAGGATTTTTATAAAATAACTATAATTTAATAAATAATACTTAGTTTTTAGATATAAGCTAGTTAAGAGAGGATAGATAATATATATTTAGTTTTAATATATAAATTAGTATATTTAGTTTTTAGATATAAATTAGTACTTCTAATTAAGATATAATAAGTTAGAACTAAGGTAATTATTATAATATATTATATTATTTTTAGGGTTTAAATAATAACCCTCTAGAGTTACTAGCTCTAGAGACTTATTAGTTTTATTAGTAGAGGGTAATATTAATTAGACTAAATAGCTATCTAATTCTATTTTATAGGGAGTATTTATTAATAATTTATTATTAAAGTAAGTATATAAAAGGTATTAAGTATAATAAAGTATAAGATAGGATAAAAAAGTAGTATAAGAAGGTATAAGTAATAAAAATATATTAGGATAGAGCTATAAGCTTATAATTACTACTTTAGGATAGAAATAGCTTTAGGTATAATTATAATTATTTACCTATAATTATACGTAATTATAGGGTTAAAGTTAGGTTAACTTTAACTTATATTAATTAATTTAAATAAGGTATAGGGTTAAGTTAGCCTAACTTTCGTCCGCAGAACCCTAAAACCAGCGGTTAGTGGATCTACCCCAATGGTGCACCGTAGTGGCTGGGCAATTTTGACAGCGCCGTGCCGCAAACTTTCAGGGTCCAACATGAGAAGATATGCCCCAATAACGCCATGACGGTCAGCAAATGGCGCCCGATTGATAGCTGAGCCCACACCCACGTGCGCTTCGCATTGCGAAAGGTCCAATCAAGCACCGGAACCCCGGACAGTTCGTGATCGGTGCCTAGAGGGCGACGATAAGCCAGCCGGGGTCACAGTGGTCACGCGTAGGGCTAACGAAGGGTATCCCTGCTTCAGCTAGGCGGAGCTTGGCATAGCCCGGCCACTTTGGGGGAGGCAGCCCGCAGCTTTTGGGGAGGTTGGCGGGATGGTTTGATTGCGTCCATGCCGTTGGTGACTGGTTCGAGATTCGGCTTGGCTGCTGGAAATAAGACGAATTTCGTTGAGCAGGCCAACCCCATTATGGCATGATGCTCCTCACCATTCACGACTTTAATGATCCTTCGCGATGCATCGGCGCTTCATGGTCTCGAATCAACACCGAAGAGCATACAACCGTGACGTTTTGTGATCATAATGAATCGCTCTTGAAGGGAGTAATTGGGAACCGTGCGAGTCATCAAGCCGGAGACCGAGCCAAACTGGGACCAATGTCTGTTCACAACTCCGCTATCGCAAAGTAAGCTTAAATGCGCTCCGACAACTTACCCAAGTGGAGGTCGCGAAGAGGCTTGGTCAGTGATGGGGTCTGGTCACAACTGTGATCCACGTTTATTGCAACTCAAGATCCGGGGGAATGATCGAGATGAAACATGGCACGGATCTAATTGCAATACAGCGCCAAAATTAGGTGCTCCTTAGACTCAACGGATGGCAGAGAGCCCAGAGGCGGTGACTAGCTACATATGCAATGGCATTCATATGATGATTTGTAGAGAACCGCGATGTTCCAAAAGCCTTTGTTAAATCTTTTAAAGGAGTGTGCAAATTGGCCACGTCTACAGTTGACTCCGTGAAAATCCCTTCACGGATTGTATGACCCGAACCGATTTCCGCCAATGGGAATTACCGCCATTGGGGGGCAGGAAGAAATTTTGATGCTCAAACCACCGTCATGTCTGCGCGGTGGGATATATACGAAATTGCAAACGTCTCAAGGGACAGCTTTAGTCTGCGCGAAGAACGCCAACGGACCAAGCGGGCATGACGAAGCTGAAGTTGTCGCCAGAAGACTCGATGCGCGAGATGACCGGAGGGGCGATGGGAGATCCGGCATGGCTGTTGGCACTATCCGGGTCGTCATTGGCCAGAATCGACAGCGTCGCAATACCCTTTCCTGCAATCTTAATGTCCATTTGCTGCGGCTCAGCGGCGTAGTTGGCCAGCTTCACGATGTATGTCTCGCCGGCGCTTACAGCGCTCCAGAAGACCGGGTCAAATCCAGAGTCAGAAGTGACCTCGTGGGTCACATCGCCGGCGTTGTGTGCAAAGAGTTGTTGGACCCAGTAGCTGGACGTGTAAACGATGGCGTCAGGTGCCTGTTTGAACGGGATCAGGTTGGGCTTCACATGTTTCCAAAAGTTAGCTTCGGCTTGCCGTTTTATTCCCAATCAGGGAAGGACAAGAACTTACCGCCCACTGTTGGTGGTCCACAAGACTGAGCAAAGGCGCAAAAGCTACGCCGCGAATAAGGTCGCTGTTGCGTTCCAGTCCAAGCATGAAGACGGCCTCGGACACTGAACCCCTCATGTCCGAATACTGCACGCTCCAGCGACCCATCTCTGCGATGATGTACTTGTTCCTGCGAGAAACATTGTCCCACTGGGCAAAGTTGAGGATGTAGTTCTCAGGGATGTTGTACTCATGGTAATCGATCCACGCGTCTTCGGGGAAAGGGTCAGGCAGGCAGTTGAAGCCGGTGGCAGAGGCGATGAGCTGGAGATCCGGATACTTGGGATGAATGGCATTATAGAATGCGGCGAATCTCTCAGCATAGCTGCTACAGCCAAAGTCATCCTCGTTGCCAATTTCGACCCACTTGACGGGCCATGGCTGTTCTCGCCCGTTCTTGGCCCGAAGAGCTCCCATAGGTGTCGAGGAATCGCCAAGGACGTACTTTTTAACATAAGTGGTTAGATTAAGTGTAACAGCAGGCTTCATGTCTTGTAATACGTACTTCAAGCTCTTGGAGAACTTCATCAACGAAAGGTTTCAGAGTTTCACCAGTGATGTGGGTCCCGTCGAGAGAGTATCCAGAGTAGACGTCAAGGAATGGCTCAAGGCGCATGTCATCGCACCATTCAAAGTATTCATGAAGACCTGCGGTACATTAGCTCTTTCTGAGTTCAACTTCGTGCGGCAGAAGCCATGCATACCAAGGGCATCAGTGTTCGGGTATCCCCAGGCACCTGTGCTTTGTTAGCTTGACATCCTGTTTGGAAGAGATTCTGCTAATACCTTGGTGACCAGGACGCGAAGTTATGGCACCAATCGTCTCATTCCACTTCCAGCGGTTCTCGACATTCGGCCCTTCCCTAATTCTAGTTAGACATCGCAGGTTTCCCGCAAGCATCCGGGGCGCAGAGCGTACAGGTTATTGCCGCCAGGAAATCTAAGGAACGATCCACCTATGTTGTTCACCGCTTCGGCCAGTGATGGTTTGAGTCCGTTGTAGCTAGATCATTAACCTGAGCCGCAGTTCTGGTTGAGTACGAACAAGACATACCGATTATGGAAGGTGGTAGGATAGAGCTGCGGAAGCGCAAACCACATCGAAGAGCCGGCGACAAGGCCCGCATCAAAGGTCATCCTGTACTCTATATCCGTCAACGACGAGAAGGTAGTCGGCTCACGTTGGTGAAACTCGGTGAACTTGTCGGTGGTGGAGTCGACGTAGAAAGTAACGTTCGCGAAAACCTCCTTGGTGGAAACACTTTGCAAGATCCAGTTCATCTGGCCTTGATAGTTGCCACAAATGAAAATGTTGTGCGAGTGAGGACTGCCATCAACCGGAATGCCCCAGTAGCCCTCATTGGCGAACCCGACCTGACCTGTGGCGCCAGCTTCGACACTGACTTTGAGTGTGTTGGGGAGAACGTCAGAGAGGGGAACTGAAGAATCGACTTCCAGGGGGGTTCCCGCGATTGCCGAATAAGCTGCTAATCCAGGATTGTCGCCTTGGAAGCCGTTATTGCGGATGAGCTGGCCATGAATACCGCCATCGCCGGAGTAGTTGATGTCCTTGCAGGGCATGTCCATTAGTATTGCAATTTTCCAAGTCGCATCAGCCAGCATAGTACACACCTCGAACATGATTCCCCACATGGTAGAAGAAGTCTCATTGCCACGATTCTGCGATACCGTCAAACTGATGGCACCGCACTGGACTGCGAGCGAGGACATCAAAAGCCCTGCCAAGGCCTTCGAAGATGAGGACAAAACCATGATGTCGGCAAATAATCAGAAACGAATTCTTGATCAAAGTGAAATTCCCATTGTTTGTTGAAGTCTACAAACATATCTAGAATATTATAGGCATTTTATATGCTTCAATCCTAACCATCGCGGTATAAGTCCAGAGCCAATGACCGGCAAGCGTTTGTCGTTCGAACGGTAGCCGACGATATATCCCACCGGCCGTCTTTGAGGATACTGTTTATGAGGTGTGATTGACTCTGGTCGCATTCCTCGTCGTGGGACGGAGAATCTGGGGATTGGGCAGGTTGCCGTACGCTGTGCCACTCGGGTAACGCGCCAATGGCGTGACACACCGAGGTCATTTCCGCGACGCCGATGCTATCACCGAGATGTAGCGTTCTGCAAGACTGGGCGTACCTGAGCGCGTTGCATTTGGCGATCGCAATAAAACCATGAACTTGGGTCTTCCGGCACATTGATATCGCAGATCCTGTGTACATCGTTGGGACTAAAGAGTAAGAGTTCACTCGGCATTATAGCTAAGGGGTGGCCCGAGGAGTATGTGGTTCACAATGCACCGAGGGCCAAGACTTTCAAGACTTAAATGCTAAATCTCAAAGCTCTCACGAGGCTACATTTCGACCGTGCCTAAGTAAACCTCGATAACCAAAACTCTACCATCACCGAGAAAACGATGGAAGCGCCAAGCCTTGTGAGAACGGTTAACATGCGTCCCTGCGCAAATGGCCACAGTTAGATGTACCACTGATGCTATGCAGTTACTGCATTGAGACACAAGGCACTGAAAATCCGCTTCACATAGAGTGATGACCCTGAAGTATGGTTCCCTTGAAGCTTGAGGGTCACAAGACCGGTTTCTCGCTATAACCTTCAGTTCCATAGGGCTATTGGCTTGAGATCTCACCGCCTTCGGGCTCTATAGGGACCGACTTACTTGGATATGAAATCTCCTATTACTAATTCCTTGCATACTATATGCCTGTGCCGCCCAGCGATGGCTTGCCAAGGCCAAACCGTGGCCGTTGTGCTTACACCCCGTCTGCTTCGGGACGGACTAAGCCTAAAAGGACCGTTCGTAACCCCACAAACATGTCGCGGACTGGATTTGGAGTGATTCAGCCTACGAACGGAATTGCGAGAGTTTCGCCTGTCTGCGCAGGTTTTTGAATGCATTCACTGTCAGCGTGTTCGGGCAAAGGGCTGTGCAGCGTTAAGTGCGAGCCACCGAATCGCTCTTGAGAACCGAAATATGAGTAGAACAATGATCTGGGATTTCACGATCAATCCTGATTCTCTCGATTTACGATCTCTGGATAATCGTCATGACTTTGAGTATCCAATGGACACGATGGCTGATCTAGTTGAGACAGCCGCCGCACTGCTAAATCTTCGTTGAATTTGGTTGTATAAAGACTATTCGTTGAGCACAGCGACTTGTGAGAAGATATCTATCACCATCGCATCGCATCGCATCGCATTTTACACTCGACTTCGGATTCTTCAACACTACAGACTCCATCAAACTCTGTCTACCGACTTCAGAAGCTTTCAGCATGCGCTTGTCATTCTGGTCTGCTGCGATTTTCGCCGGCTCTTGTCTGGCACAAGGTGATCTCGCTGGGCTTCTCGCTTCGCAAGACGATCTCAGCACATTGCTTGAGCTAGTCGGCCTTGTTGATGGCCTTGCGGAGACCCTGGCATCGGCTTCCAACATAACCATCATAGCCCCGACCAATTCGGCATTTGCCAATGTGCCACGAGACGTTCCAGAGGGCGAGGCCATCGAGCTTCGCAACGACACCATCGCTATTGCAGCCTTGCTTGCCAACCATGTTTTCAAAGGAGTTTATCCATCCAGCGTCATCACCGAAGTCCCCACCTTTGCTCAGACCTTGCTCAACGGTTCCTACATCACCGCTCGCCAGCCCTTCTCCAACTTCACTGGAGGCGCCTACAACGGACTCGTCAAGAACGGGAAGGACGTGTGCATCCTGTCTGGGGAGCAAACCATCTCCACGGTCACTCAAGCTGTGTGTGACATCTTCATCAACACCCATGCTCTTAAAGGCGCTAACGTAACGCGTAGGACATCAAACTTGGTGAAGGTATCACAATTCACAAGGTCGATACCGTGCTGTCCTTTGGAGCCCCATTTCAGCTCTTCACATTCCGAGCAGGCTACCGCGCCATGAATGCCGCTCTGGAGGCGGCTCACCTCAACTTTGCCTTTGGCGAGACTGGAGCCGATGTTCAGGGTCTCAACATTTCCGACTACACAATCTTCGTCCCAACTGATGACGCTTTCAAGTCAATCGGCTCTGTACTTGAAACAGCAGATCTAGAGACACTTCAGCAGGTGCTCCAGTACCACATCATTCCCAACAACGTCATCTTTTCGCCGTCTCTTGGAAACGTGACAGTTCCGTCTCTGCAAGGCGCAAACCTCACTTTCACCGTGTTGCCGGACGGATCTGCCTGGGTGAACAACGCAAGAATCACGTTTCCCAACACCATTTTGTATAATGGCGTGGCTCATGTGATTGACAGGTTGGTTTACTCCAGTCAACAGCAGTTCTTCGCATTTTATACTGACGTATTGTTAGTGTCTTGAGCCCTGGAAACTTTGATCGTGCGTCTCTACAGCCGTCTAAGCCGGCTTCTGAGCGAGTCGCGTTCCCAAATGCCTCCGCGGTCTCGAGCTTGCCTTTCTCGAGTGTTTCTTTCGCGACGGACCTTATGGCTTATACGACGACTCCAATTTTGCTTCAAACTGTTGCTGCTGTCGCCACCCCTTCAGCTAATGCGACCGCTACGACGAGCCAGCCTGTTCCGGTTGCAACTGGGGCTGCCAGCGGATTGATGCCTGGTGCAATTTTGGTCGTTTCTTTTGCCATGGGCCTTGCTGCACTGCTCAGCTAAACTTGAGAAACTAATCGAGCGTCTTCATTCGTGAAATTGAACGTGCAATAGAGTCGTTTGGAAATTGATGCATTGGAGATGGAGGTAATTAGGACGTTTTGTGGAATGGCTGGTTGGTTGGCATGCGAAGGAGATCTTGATGCTGTTTTTACCTTGATTATCTGTTATGATTTTCACACCTTCATTATGCCTATTTTCATCATTATTATCTCAATTTTAAGCAATTCCTTCGGGATTTCTTCATTATAATTTCCCCGATAGAGTGCTATCTTGTCACAATAAGTCTTACACAACAGCGGTGGTGACAGAGGTGGCAACGAGAACCGACGACGACGGCAGAAGCAATAACAATGGCAGAAGCAGTGACGACGGCAGAAGCAATAACAATGGCAGAAGCAGTGACGACGGCAGAAGCAATAACAATGGCAGAAGCAGGGACGACGGCAGAAGCAATAACAATGGCAGAAGCAGTGACGACGGCAGAAGCAATAACAATGGCAGAAGCAGTGACGACGGCAGCAGTAAAAATGACAAGAACGACATGGGGTATCCATTTTTCTTTCTCAAGAAAGGAAGATAATTACTTTGTAGCTATTAATCTCCGCTCGCATAGCAAGACTCGTGCGTAGAAGCAATATGTGATTCGGTCTATAGTCTCAAATCTATGTGGTATCATCTAATGCGCGTGCTCTGTCGAACTCTATGTACAAGTGAAGTGCAGTTCCTGACTCCGTATTATGCTATTCGCCCTAGTAATCAGCGTCGATGTACTCGGCGCAGATGAGGTCGCCCTTGAGGTCCATCACATCGGCAATAGTCTTGTTGGGGATAATGCCACCCATCCAGAGGACGTGGTTGAGGGTGGTCTCGTTGCCCGGGTCACCGTCGTAGTCGGTGTAGGCCTTGGACGGGTAGAGCCAGCGGTTTTGTGTCATAATGAACTCAGGAGGGATGATCTGGCCGCTCATGTCCGTCAGACGAGCAGTGAGGTTGGCCTCCTGCCACTTCTGCCAGAGGCGATCCAAGTTGGCGTGGTGCAAGAAGAAGACAGGGTCGCCAGGGCTGGCGTTCTGGTTCTCCATCTGAAAAAGCCATTGTTTAGTGACTTCCCTTTCGTGTGGAATATTTTGATAGGAAGACTTACGGTTCCGCCAGTAGCAAGGTGTCCACAAGAGTGAGGCGAGTCAACGTAGCAGAAGTTGGCCTCGTTGTAGTTGTCCTTGGCGAAGCAGGTATCGACGTTGGTCTGGTTCGCGAACTCCCAGGCCGTCTGGTTCCATCTACGAGAAAGGCAGTACTCGTCGTAGTAGTCAACACCCCAGATCTGGTCCATGCGGAGAGTTGTGTTGGCAAAAGCACCGTCGATAACGCAGTTGACGCCGTCGGTGGTGTTGACGCCGTTAGTACCGAAGCTGAACTCGTCGGATCCCCAAACAGAGGCATTCTCGATGGACCCGAGGACCTCCAGATCACGTTGCTCATCCCAGTAGGGAAGAGCGCCTTTGTATCCACACTCGTCCTGGAGAAGCATCTCTTGGAGGCGAAGGAAAAGGCGGTGCCAAGGAAGGAAAGCACTGCGCATGTCAGTTACATACTGATTGGACGTTGAATTGTGTGTCACATACCCGACTCCGTGGATGAAGTTCGATTGCTCGACGTGGCAAGACTGCAGCTCGTCCCATCGAGAGATAGCACCTGTGATGCCGCTCTTGGCGGGGGACTCCATCAAGCACTTGACGGCCTGAAGGTAGTCAGACTTCTCATCATTGGTGAGAACGTGCCTATTGAGTGTCATTGTCAGCCCTACTAACGATACAAAGCTGGTATAGGTGGGTCTGATGTCACTCACCATGCCTTTCTTTGGTTAAGCGAAGTGCAAGTAGAGTTAGAGTAGCTGCCGTTGCGAGCGAACGGTGATGCGCTAGCAAGCCCAAGGGCTGAAACGAAGCCGAAAAGAGTGGACGACCTCATGTTGATCAACGAAGGACGTGCAGATCTCACACAGATCTGCAAAAGAGTTCGGACGACAAGTAAAGAGGGAACAACCCGATGGATTGGTTGACGTTCCAGCAATTGCAACAGCGCGGCCCTACCAGGCTCACTTATACTACGACATCAACTCCGCCAAGACTCCAGGATTTCTTTTTCGTGGTCCAGATTCGGAGATCAATACAAAAACTGCCATGCCCCGAAACCCACTGACTACGGAAAGAATTGCGATGGACCTACGATAGGGAGCCGCGCAGCCCGCATGTTGCGCGGGACCTGTGGGAGTGCTCCATCGCGGAATATGGCGATGCTCGAGATAAAGATTGACCCATGCGCCGATTCGTCTCAAGTTGCCCATTTTATGCACATTAGCCAGGGATCGGCAAGTTAAATTCCTGTCCGTGTTCGTCCCAAGAAATTCGCAGGGCTTGAATAAGCATGGAAGGTGACCGAAACCGAGTATTTGTGGAGTCCAGATGGACCTTAGCCATCATTGAACAAGGAAGAGACTTCTTGGCTTGACCTCCTGCCACATCTCCCACATACCGGTCCTCTGGGTCATGTCCGAGAGGGACTACCTTGGACCTGCATTTGAGCCACGTTTGTTGGCGTTTACTGATCTAATGGAGAATAAAACCGGAAAAGCCGGTCGGACAAAATTTGATGGTTTCGGCTCCCACATCGCTTCTACTCTATTACGGGGCTAACTTCTAGACCTGTGACATCTTGATCTGGGTGGCTCCGATGGAGACAGCCGTTCTGCTTGGTTCCGCATGTGGCGTTGGTGACGACGACAGCGAGTTCGCCTCGGTTGCTCAACCATCCGACTGGAAGAGCAAATGCCTTGTCGGGCATTTCATCTTGAAGCTCAATTTGAAGAGCTTTCTTATCTGTCGAACTCCCTCTGACAGAGACCTGGCACCGCAGCCTATTCGCCCACACGAGCGTTAGCGACCAGTCCACACGAGTCAGAGTAATTTCCAGTCAACTGTAACACGTCTGATATCCGACGTTAACGGGTTTCAGCTAGACACCTCGCCAAGTTAGCATCCCTAGTAACATGTATTGTAAAGATAGGAACTAGAAATGTAAAGATACCCCAAAAATGAAATGTGTGCTTTGTCGCGAGGCTATTTCAAAAACTGAACCCCCTGCAGGTACGACAAGTCATCAATGTCCGCAAAAGAAACAACTGTGGGTATGTCAGGGGATCGCTCAGCATTATGTAACATAAGAATGGGGGGTAAACAATTTTATTCCCATCTTGGTGGACTCGCCCTCGCCTACTTGAAGTAGATGTGAGATCCAGGCACGTTTTCTCGGCGACAACCCGGAGTGGGGCTGCCGGCTCGGAGGAAAACCGCGATATCGGAGCCGATAGTTTACGAATTAGGGTACGCGTCGCTACGAGGCAGTGCCAACCGAATCAAGCTCAATCGTACTTTATGTTTCCCGTTGCCAGGGGTTCCAAAAAGGAGACTTTACTGTAACCTAGCAGCGATCTTCACAAGCCCCAAGACAAAAGCTCGTATGCAAAGGATTCCTGTAAAACTGAGTGCTACCATTTTTCTGAGGCCATTTATGAGCGAATATGGAACCAGCGACACGAAGGCAATGGACAGGAAAGCTATGCACACATCAGTGACACTCAGTAGTGCAAGGTTCAAAACGTTTGTCCCCTTTGTTGCTGACGATAGAAATGGGGATCTTTTGAAACAGAGATAGAACTCGCTCTACGTAGGGGAAGACGCAGATAAGTGATTACTGTCATTGGCTGTGTTCTTGGGCGTAAAGCCGCCACACGCGGTGAGGCGGTCCATTGGTTGATATTCTCGGCTGTCTGATCAAAAATGACAGATCCAGATGCCGGGCGCGAAGCGCGCGAAGCGTGTCCGAGAGGCTGACCCCGCTGGAAATTGATCTGTGGACCTCTACGACCAGGGGCGAGGGATGGAAGAGCAGCAGCGATTTGAAGGCGAGCTTGATTGTTTCCTCGAAAGACTCAAACCTGGGCATGTTCTATGCATCCGGTGCTTTAGATTTCTGCAAAACAGGTTGTGTATGTTAAACTTCCTATTTAACTTGAAGTAGAAATAAAACTGCTTTCCCAAAACATTGGCGAGTTCGCTGGCTTGATTGACCAAGATATTGCAAATTGCCTAAGGTCAGTATAAACCTCCTTTGCGTACTCTGATTTTGGAATCATCCAAGTGAGAGAGTTCATTGTCGATCTCAGTGCCCTGATTGTCTTATGATACGAGGAGATTTCCGGGTGATCTAGCAAGACTAGGTGTACCAATGCAGCAGTGAAGGCTGCATGTATGATCATGAAGTCAGCGATACTATTAGAGTAACGTTCTCGGTATGTTTTGAGAAGTGCAGTTATTGTTGAGGCAGACTCCAAACAGTGATTGTTGGCAAGCTGACGCTCAGCACTAGTCTGCTTCAAAGATGGACGATGTAGGAGGATCATGCCGGAGTGGTAGCATAAACTTTCTCAGATGTCAGTTCTGAAGCGCGTTGTCTTGTTTACAATCGGACTGACTGAAGTGAAATCAAACTCGGCGGGCACTCTGGATGATTTGTGGCTCGAAGAGAGGCTGGTAAAGCTGTGAGCCATGAAACATATCGAAGATTACCCGTTGATATTGCTTCCTCTGTCGAAGCAGGGCACATGAAAGAATATCTGATCGTGGATAAGAAACAAGGAATAATAACACTGGGTCTCTCGTGCACTTACATGTCCCCGAGACATACATCTTGCATATCAGCCAAGCTAAGATGATACGCATATACATCATGCGTAGTGACACCAACATCGTTTCTCTCCTTGAGGGTTCTCTCAACATTATGAACGGGGGACTGGACGGAAACATCGCAAGCAGCCATCAACACAGCACGCCCCTGAAGAATTGCCAGGCGTCTAGCACACAGTGACGTTAGCCCATGAACGATGCTGAGTTCCGGTATCTACTCACCTGTCTAAAAAGAAACAAGCCCAAAACGTCGTGTGTCTTTCTATGTTGTCGGAAGTTTGTCGCATGCAAGGCCCATCGTGCAATGAAGCTGGTTCGACATGAAGACCCATAAGCTTTGCTGCATTGCAGGCAATCCCTAGACATTTCCATTAAGCGTGGACGTGAGGGAATGCAGAGTTTCACATGACAACATACCTAGGAAAACAGCTGCTGACTCAAGCTTTCCTTGCAAGATAGCCAAGTACGACCGGAGTAGAAACGACTTAATGTTGGGTATGCAAACATGCTCGATCTCACCCCCACTCAGTTCGGTGAAACGACTCGAGAATGCGAGGTTGACTTGGTGCTGTCGCTCAGGATCGCTGTCTGAGTGACAGAAAAAAGCCCCAACGCCTAGCACACTTATTTTGAGTAAAAGGTTGGTTGCTGCGGTCTGTTGGAGCTCGGCGGGTGAAGAGAACAGCGGAAAATGGGAGTGAACGTGATCCCAGTAACTCCTAAGGTACTCAATTTCTGTTGGTAGCCATTCTGTGCGGCGGTAATGAGCGACCTTTTCGGCTATCGAAGGTCGCATTGTCCCGGATGCGGGCAACAAATGGAAGTTGCTAGTTGGTCCAACATAGACCGTCTTTCCGGCGACTTCGTCGTGTATCAATGCACCATTCACAGAGCACATAGCCCCAAGAGCTGAAGTTGTCAGCTTCTCGTCGTCAAACTCCAGACCTAAGACACTGAATTTCAGAGACTCAAGAGGCCGTTCGAGCTTCATTTCTTCATGCTCCTCGAAATCAGATTGGACAGCAACGCCATAATGTGCATCCCAAGTTGAATCAGTCATTAGATCAAGTCCGAGTGACGCACTAGCTTGCGCTTTTCTGAGCTGAGATTCCAAAAAGGCGATTCTGTTGTTCAAGGCACTGAATTCGGATTCCGTGTGTCGTGACTTGCGGCCATCGATTCGACTGTATTCGCAGTTTCGGTCAAGTCGAGCGCATGTGGCACACTGCGGTTTGACGCCGTCGCATTTAATCCTTCCTGTCCGGCACTGATGGCATGCCATTGATACCCGAGATGTCTGTCGCCTCGTTCGCGGCAATCGATTGGAAGACATGATGGGTTGCGTCAGGAAATTGAAAATTTCCATCCATACTTAGGGCGAAGATTGGACTCAGACAAGTTGTTATAGAGAATTCCTTGAGTACCTAGCCGGAGCTTGAGCATGTGCGTAACCTATGCCATCCATGACGAGCGGGGCCGATAAGATGAACGAAGTTCAACCAATGAAATGCAGCGACCATATCATAGGAAAATATATTCCGCTCAATCACCATGAGCGGCTTGGATTAAAAAAAAAAAATAAAAAATTGTTAGCCGTGGGTGTCTCATTTGATGTGCTAACAAAAGCTCGTATCCTATAAGGGCGATAAGGATAATAAGGGAACGGAGACGACGTGGACGACGGGGAACGACGGGAATAATTGGGACGACGGGGGACGACGGGGGACGACGGGGGACGACGGGGATGACGGGGACAACAAGGCTTACGAGGACAAGGGGAATAATGAGGACGATGAGGACAAGAAAGTAAGATTTACGAAGGTCATCAAGTGCGAATTGTATCATTTCAATAATGACAAGCCTATGTGTATCCTAGTCATAGAGCCCGTCGATTTCTTCTAAAGTCTTTCCAGCGGTTTCGGGCATCCAAAAGTAACAAATGAGAGCAACCATAACGCTGAAACCACATATCATGAAAAGGGATTGATACCCAATGGCAGCAAAGAGGTAAGGACTGATCATGCTGGCAAAGAAAGAACCTATTCCAAGACCAACTATACCCACGGAACTACCTTTAGCCCTAGATTGAGCAGGGAAAATTTCGGAAGGATACGTAAAAGGACACCAGACTGTTCGCAAATATCAACTGTCAGCTTATGTTTCACAAGAAGTGCCGAAGAAGATGTAAGGACATACGCCATGTTGCGCCAAAAACGGCGTCCCAGAGGAACACCAGAGCAACTGTTGCCGAGCCATAGGATTTAGCTAGTGCGGGGTTTGTGTATGTGTACTTGTTGACGAAGTAGCCGCACATGCCAATCAGAGCCAAAACGACGGCCCCAATGGCTGAACCACCAATCATGGCTTTACGGCGACCTATAGTGTCGGAAAGCAAGGCACCAGGAAGGCCGAAGGCCGCTTGAGTGATAATACCCAGTCCTGCAAGAAGTGCTGCTAGCTCGGACGACCATCCGCCAGTCTCGAGGATTTGGATACCATACCCAGAGACAAACCCCGAACCGACCATTGCTTGTGTTGCGAACTGTATGAAAATTGCCGACCAAGTCCGTCGAGCCGTTTTCAAATCGTCCGCAGCCGTCAACATAGCCCAGTAGCTTGCCGATGAATTGTGTATACGTTCCGTCTCTATCGCCTGTGCAATCGAAAGAAGCTCGGACTCCACAATTTCCTCAAGCTCAATGGGATCTTCGATGGACTTGACACTCCGAAGACCATCCCGGGCTGCATTGATGAGGCCGACTTTGACGAGCCAGCGTGGCGATTCAGGAAGGAAATACACCATAGACAGAACAGTGATGACGTAAATCAACTGAAATGACATCGGCAGCCTCCAGACTATCTCGCCTGTAGTGTGCTTGGCCAGACCATACGGGATGAAGTAAGCGATGGCCGCGCCCGTAGCAGCGCAGCACATCAAAATGCCCATTGTGCGGCCTCGGTGGCGATGATCAGCGCTTTCAGCTGACCAGTTCAGTCCCACAGAATCGAAGGATCCCGTAGCGCAGCCATTGAGAAAACGAAGCGTCAGAGCCCATGGAAAGCTCTGCAGAGATGCAAAAGTTGGAATGATGGCAACGGCGAAGATGCCGGTAAAAACAATAGCACGTCGGCGGCCAACGCGGTCCGAAAACGAGCCGACGAGAAGGGCGCCGAGGATGACACCAATCCAGTAGACGCAGTTGATCAGGCCGATGAGGAGCTGAGTATGATTGCTTCCGTCTGTAAGTCCGACGACTTGGAGGTACGAGTCTAAACCGGAAATGCTGCCCATGAGTGCGAGATCTATAATTAGTGTCAGCTGCATGTGATTTCTGCAGAGAATTTCTCCTCAACAGAACAAGCAGTGAATGGTGCCGAAACCAGGAAGGATGACAATTATAACTTACTGAATCCTGAAAGTGACATGATGCAGCATCCACAAGCAACTACGCCAATCCTCGAGACCTTAGGAGGCAGCCCAACGAAACGGTACGTCGGGGATGGCCCTGGCATGTATCGAGCCCATGCTGGAACGCCGTTCGGTATCGCGTCTGTCTCTCCCAGGCCGAAGTCGCCAGAGTCGCCACGGGTGACATGTGAAACAATTTTGCTCTTCATTGCAGTTGAATAACCAAGACAACGGGTACAAAGACTTGTGTGATTTTGAATGAGACGGGACTGGTGGCGTCGCATGGGTCAAATACAGCGGGTGGCCCTTGCCCTTTTTCATAATGCTGAGTCGCTTGTTGCTTCCATGCCGGAGGAAATATTAATGGGAGTTCACATAGACAGCAGTGTTGTAAGAGAGGTCGCACTCCTTATCTGCGTGATAGCAACCGGAATTTATTTCGCGGATCGGGCAAACCTTTGGAAATAACGCCAGGGTGATACCGCCATGAATCTGATAAGACAAAAGGGGAAAGTAGCTTATCGGAAGCTCTTTCAGTGCATTTGACGTATCAGAGATTCCGGCTTTCTAGATGGACGGAGGGATCCGTCCGGCGTCAGGTTGGCTATGTCTGTGGGTCCCAGTCATGATACCAACCGGAAGTTGATATACGGATACCGATATACCGATCACACCGTTGAATTATCATTGACACCAGACGCCAAAACAATGTGTCAAGATTTTACAGGAAATAAGGAGGTGAACTGCGTGTGCCGTATCAATACCTCCGGTTGGAATCGTAGGTTTGGCTGCATTGACCAGTTCAATAATAGCTTTATCACTCCAGCGATTGCGAGCAACTGAAAACTGGCTTAAAGTCAATACCATTATCATAAGTCCGCAATCACGAACGCCTAGTCAAACCAAATACACTGTAGCTGGAAAACATCCAAAGATCTCTCCCTTTTACTTGAAAGATGAACAGCCACGTGTATGGAGACCCCAACGACCCTGTCAAAGTTGCAGTCGTGCAAGCCGAGCCTTGTTGGTAAGTGATTGACCGGCCAGATCTTCATCGCATCTTCGGCATTTCTGTGTATCTTGTAATACTAACGGTCATTTCTTGTCTAGGTTCGACGTTGAAGCTGCAACTGTCAAGACATGCGAACTCATAACCGAAGCGGGCGCGAACGGTGCGAAACTTGTAGCGTTTCCAGAGCTCTGGATTCCCGGATACCCCAACTTCATCCATGCGAAAGCAGCCAAGGAGACCATGGATTACAACCTCAAGTACTACCGCAACTCCATCGATGTCCGGTCCGAGCACATGGAGCGCATCCGTATGGCTGCCAGGAATGCCAGCATCATGGTTGTCGTGGGCATATCGGAGCGCGACAAAGGCAGTCTGTACATGGCCCAGACCTTCATAGGGCCAGATGGAGACGTGCTTCTCCACAGAAGGAAGTTCAAGCCCACCGCTCAAGAGCGAATTCTATTTGGTGACGCAGTAAGTGGCCAATAGAGCCCCAGCAAGCCTTTGTGCTGACCTCGTCGTGCCCAAAGTCGGGTGACTGCACGTCGAATGTAGTTCAGACGCCCATCGGCCGGATCGGTGGCCTTCAGTGCTTCGAGCATCTGCAACCTCTTTTGAAATACAATACCTACTTTCAAGGAGAACAGATTCATGTTGCCTCATGGCCGAATCTCTTCCCTCCAGTCGGCAAAATGCCCTTCTTCAATACTGTCGAATCGTGTATGATGGCTACCCACACCCTTGCCGTAGAAGGCGCAACATTCGTTCTTCTCGCTTCATCAACGCAGACAGAGAAAGGGCTTATAGCCAACGGGCTTGTGGATGAGAGTGAACATGCCGGTCAAGGGGGAAAGCCCCACACGGCGGTCGTAGGCGGCGGGTTTTCCGAGATCATCGCTCCGGATGGTCGCACGCTGGTGAAGGCGCCTAGCCCTACGTTTGAGGGTCTCCTCTATGGAGAGCTCGATTTTGACGAGATCTACATCGCAAAGAGTATTGTCGACACGGTGGGGCAATACTCACGCCCTGATCTTTTCACTTTGCAGGTCAGGGGCAAACTCAGGCGGCAATGTGAGTACGACGAAACAAGCAATATTGATCATGTATCAAGGTTTCCCGATCTCCCGATAGGATGAGAATAGTTTGCAATTGGTGGAAAGCACCAGTGTCAATTTCAGATTTGATACATGAAGACTAGGACCGTTTTAAGGACGAAACCTTACTTGCTTGTGACTGTATTAAATGGTTTTGGCGCATTAAACACTTTGACAGGATTCATGATCCATCTAATTACCGTCAAAGTCAGACTTGATGTAACGCGACAGACGTAGAAGCCAAACTAAATGTGCTAGCGTGTGATCGAGTGGACTCACTTGGGATCTACAGAGCTCTTCAGAGCTTTCATCAGGGCAGTCGTGTTGACGCCCAGCTCGTTCAGGAGGCATTCCTTCTGTAGTATCAATACACTGTTTACATGCAGGATGAGGAAAAGTGACAGACCTTCTTTCCGATGCCAATACCATGTTCCCCCTACACACATGTTATTGCCTGGTCTCAAATGCGAGCTTGGTAAACATGAAATCGTTGGAAAGTGCTTACCAAGACTGTACCTCCAAGCTCGACGGCTCGATCCATCATCTTGAGCACGCAGTTTCCACACGCTGGACGTGCTCTTCATTCTTTGCATCGTACATAACGGCTTGGTGGAAATTTCCGTCTCCGACGTGCCCGACGATAATAGCAAAAACTCAGAGTTTGTCGGATTCTTGCTTGGAAATATCTGTGAAGGGCATGCTCAGTATCGCGTCACCCTCCCAGATCTCAGACGTACCATTAAGTTCTGCAAGCTTAGATATAGGAACTGCAACATCAGTTGACCAAATGTTGAAACCTTGAGGCTCAATGGACGTCATTGTCCACAGCGCCTCCTTCCTTCCCGACCATAAATCGATTTCTTCTTGCTTGTTTGCGGCAGACAATATCTTGCTCAGGCTGAACGGTTCTATGACAGACTTGACGGAAGCAATATCGCCATGAACACCCTCTTTGGTACCAGAGAATCTGAGTCAAGGCTGCCATTAGTATGGTTCTCGACATTTCGGTCCAGATGACAGCAACTCACCTGAGAAAAAGCGCGGGGTTTTCCGGAAATTTCCAACGTCTTACTGCCGCACTGCCATGCATGTTCAACACCCCCATCTGCACGTCATTCATGAGCTCCAAAGCAGCCAGCTGTATCCCTTACCGTATCAGCTTAGATGCGGCAGTAGCAGCATCGTTCATTGAAGCAAATGAGACGACGGCGACCTCTGTTTCCTGCGGTAATACAGCAAGTTTATATGTAATTTCGGTGACCATGCCAAGCGTGCCCTCTGCTCCAACGAACAGGGAAATTAGGTTATAGCCGGCAGAAGACTTTCTTGGCCTCTGTCTGGTCTTGACGATACGGCTGTCAGGTAGCACAACTGTAACGTTGATGACCCAGTCTTTCATTGTACCGTATCGGAATGCATTGGTACCGCTGCGACTTCCTTAGATGGAAGAACATGTCTTGATATTAACGACATACCTGCAATTTGTCGAGACCATACCACCAATCCTCGCTGTTGGTGATGGACGAGTTACAACAGCGACTGCGACTTTTTTGAAAGGTAAACTCCCTTGCAGTCTGATGTAGCAAATATAAAAAGAATGTTATATTGTGAGAGTAGGCCGATCCTACTTCACTCATTTGCGTCTACGGATTAAATACTTCTTCAGACCACGGAGACGCTCTTTTGCATCTTACAACACCAAGTCCTCCTTACAAATTGCAAATCTCAGATAGTTCTCTGCCAGAGACGAATTATCCGGAAGATAGAACTCGGTAGCGATTCTCAGTTCCATAACAAGTAACCAACACAGCTTCAACAACTTCAAGTCTCGAGGACGGGAGGCGACATGTGCTGGGAATTCGTAACAATGTTACTAGCGCATGGCGCATCGCCGGTTGCTCGAGTGCCATGGGCACGATGACACGTAGAAAATGGGTAGAAACGATCATCTACGACTGCCAGCACGTGAGCCACAGTCTGAAGGAAATGGTTCAGCAAGTGCCTCTTCACGATATTTCAGCTCTTCAACAGTTGTGGCGTTACTCTGGTTAGGTTTATTGAGAGCTGTGGATAGAAGGGACGTAGCCAAACCCAGTTCATCGTCGCTGGCGCATGGCATGCCTAAGCCCACAAGGGCTGTGCTATTTGCGAGAGCCGCTGCCTTTCTCGTCTTGAGGCGATCATCCGATTCTGTAAGTGAAAGCGAATTGGAGAACGAGGTCAACTGAGTAGACAGATGGCTGCCATCCAGACCATGGACGTCGGCCTATTCTTGGAACAGGTCTGGACTGCTAACAAGCACATCACTACTCGATAGCAGAGGTGAGCTGTGGTTCTGGTCAGAGTTGCTGTCGCAACTTTCACCAAGTTACAAAGGCAGCAAAAGAGATTGAAGCCATTTTGGGTTCAGGAGCTGTCAGCTTTGACGAAGATGTTATCGAAGCGCATGGCCACTCAGATTGGTCCACTTCCAACTCATCCGGTCGGCCTGTAGCCATTGTGTATCCGAATAACACTAAAGATATATCTGAGATCGCGAAAGTTTGCTACAAGCACAGCGTTCCTATGGGTACGGGCCCCATCAGTCCAGATTGTCTTTCCTGACTGACCGTGTAGTACCATTCGGGGCCGGTTCGTTGGTCGAAGGGAACGTTCCATCGCCTTACAACGGTATCTGCATAGACTTCACGTACATGGACGAAGTCGTCGCGTTCCACACAGAAGAGTCTGCGAGCAGCCCCCACACATCTTGACTAAATTGGTTCCTGACACAATGCAGCACCCCTGCTTTTACCCTGAGTTTCACAAAATACAAGATCCTTACGCCTCAAGTTGCGTGTTTGTGGCTAGATCCAGTTCAACAGATTTTCCATCCGGGTGGATATTGCTAGGTATCTAGGCGGGCAGTAAGTACAAGCAAGCGAGAGTAGGGATGGCGGCGACGATAGGGATAGGGACAGCATGGACAACATGGGCGACAAGGATGATAGGAGTAAGAAGGATGATGGGGATAAAGTGTTTCAGATAAGACAAACTAATAGGCTTAATGTAGACAGTTATCCGCTTGGATAGCAAGACCAACCTTTGTAGCCTTTTTTGAATATTATCCTCATTATTGCGGGTGATTCCTACTATCGTCTTAATTGTCTTTATTATTATTGGAGTCCTTGTAATTATTGTCATCAATATCATAGCGCATGAAGCTTCGAAGAGTTCAGAGACCTTGCTGGGTAGGACACTAGTTCTCACGTGCTCCCACCTAAGTCTCCATTATACATACTCTCAGCTTCCAAGGTGCGAAAACCTTAGGCTATCAAATCTTTCACAAACCTTGAACATTTGGCTGGTTTTGAGGCCTCTCTGGTTTCTTCACTTCACGGACATATCTGTTCGCAACTTCAGTCGGCTGGTTGTGTGTCCTCAATCGGGGGTCATACCAACGACGCTCTCCCAACGCCATGTTCCTCTGCACCTTTAGCCTGTCGTCGCTGATTTTGTCGAGAATCCCGCGCCCCCCACCTTCGAGGTTCCGTCCATGCAGCGTGGTGTCAAAGAACGCCCGTGTTCGCCTCGCATCTCAGCTGCCAAGTCAGATCCCAAGCATCACCGTCGGATGGGCGAATAGCCGGCGATTTTCTAGTATCTCGCAGCTTGCAGCACCATCGAAAAGCCAAATCCCAAAATTGTTTTTGGGACCTCCAAAGAGGCATGACTCAAGGTTATTGTTAGCACCTCCAGCGAACAACAACTTCAAATTGTTGAATCCACCGCTAGCATTCATGGAAGATGTGGATGTCTATAACGGCAAATGCATACCGACCTACACGTGACCGGACTTACGTCCCCTCATCCATGGCATTCGGCATCACCAGCTATTCGCCTTCTCTGCAGAAGTTGCCGACTTATGTTCACGACCCGGGAATGAGCTATGTGCGAGGGCCCGTAACGCTCGCCTCATCATGAGTAATATAATACCGGAGATGCTAACAGATGCAGTGACGCCTTACTGCATATGGTATCCCGATGTAGCCACAGAAGAGACGTATCGCGAACTATCTCGGCGGTATCCAAGAATGCGGTATCAGGTCGGAAGAGCTTGCGCAGTCGCAGGCTATAACAAGCTATTCGACCAGCTGCAACTGCTTCTAGACGTCTCCATTGCGGAAGAGGCTGAAGACAGCAACAACGCCTACATCCGAGATGCTATCATTAGCAAGCCAGTGAGGTACGCCGTTATGAACGACTACGCCAGGACTATCGATATAGATAAAGCGAGAGCCGGCGCATGTCTTAACGGTGATACTGCGGTCAGGTCATCTCTCGAAAAGAAGCGTCGTCATGGCCACGATACCGAAGAATGTGACTTTCTCAGATATTACTCTCATTACTTCGACATCCAAGAGGACCGCCACATACGCCCTAAGCATTGGCGAGGCCCTGAGCATACGGTTCTACAAAGCCAGTATGCGGACCTGATTTACAAGCCACTGCCCCGTGATCTACCACCTATCATAAAGGATATCCTCATCATTATGGCTGCTTGGGACGGCAACATTGATCGCTATTCACGGTTAAGGCGCCCGCAACCTGTTGAAAACGAGATCTCGGCCGTCATTCGCGGAGCATACCATCATGCTCCCTTTGCGAGGTGGCTTGAAACCTGCCTAGAAGATCTTTTCCTTGACAAGTCGGAAAGCGTGCTAGTTCGACAAGCCATAAACGCCCGTTTTATCATGAATAATGATCTGTCCAGGATAGACAGGTTTACACATGGAGATAGCCTTCCTGAATTCTTCTGGTGGCCTCATTGCCCACATCCAATAAGGCTACGGGAGTTTGCATGGCGTCGGCCCAATATGAAACATCAGATTGCTCTTGCATGTATCGCCGGCGAATACCGGGAGCTGTTTGATGAGTTGGCGGTCAATGTGACGTCAACAACTGAGATGTGGGAGGTTGCTTACCAGTGTCCAGACGAGTACGATCGAGAGCAGGTCAAGAAATACGCTGACGCCCAGGGAGTAACGTTGTACAGAACTTTCTCGGCAGGAAGCCACAGATACCTTGGACGCATGAAGGAAATGTACAGAACGAGCTATCTTTTGCATTTACCCAAAGAGCTCCACAATACACCTGACGAACACAACAAGGACTGGGAGGAATGGGACCACCCAGCGGGTGAACTGTTCAATTATCATATGGATTCTCAAATCGCGGATTGGCAAACCTTCATAAGCGCAAAGAATGATGCTATAGAATCGTTGGGAAACACATACGGATGTTTCTATCACTTATCTGCAGACGATCTTAGACGACGTTCAGAGCCGGGCCCTGAGCCACCTTTTCCGAAGAAGTTCGACTCAGATGAGGACGACACAGAGCAGGACGACATATATACATGGTAGCGCAATCTGCAAAAAGGGTCTCAATATATAGGTAGGTATGGGTTTTTCACAGAAAAATCGAATAAGGGCTGTAAAGTTCCACAAAGTCTTGAGCTATTCGCGGCACAATGGAGATAGAGGCGGGAGCGATGACGGGTGCGCTGAGAAAGGACATGGGGAATGACGGGAAGAATGCCACGGCTGAGAAGGACGGGGACATGCGACGAGGTCCAAATGAAGAAACTGGGCAGCAATCAGTTCCAAAGCTCCCCTCGAAAACAAAACTCTTCACAGATACCACGATACACAATGAATACATTGACTCAACTCACAGCACATTGGAGGCCCAACGACCGAACATCTCGCATTCCCACAATTGGGGCGTGAGCTAGAGAAACGCCGGCTTAGGCCTCGCCGGTTGTCCGGTTCAAAATCGAAGGAGATCGAGAAAAGTCCTCTCCTGGAACTACATCGTGTCATGAACAGCCGATAAGACATTATCGTTGCTGCAACTTGCACATTGGGAATGTTTCACCAGTGGAAGAAATTTCGCAAATTCTCCTACCACATCTCTCTCTTCCAATCTTCCAAAGCATTTTCTGGACCTCGTAAACATGGATATGTCGGGTTCCCACTGGCGCTGGGGGCCAAAAAATTGTCGCGTGCCGTCAACCCCATCGAAGCGATCGTCTCGGGCTCCGCGAAGTTTCTTCAAATTTTTCCGCGTCAATTTTTGGCAGCAGACCGCAAGGACCTCCTGTCGATCACAGTCAGTATTGTTTGACGAGGGAAGCGAGAGACGACTTGCCAAATTAACAGCAATCTGGGATGGCCCTGCAGAGTCATTTGGACGGTTCCAGACCGTGGCTCGGGGTGAGCGCACGCCACATGTGGCGCGTGGGGGAGTTTGCGAGATAACGGTGAGAGGTTGAGTCAGGGACTTGTTGTGATCTCGGCGGTCCCGAAATAGCTCAGGTGGACGTTCATATAAGATAAAGAAGATGGAAACAGCTGAATGGACTGAAACATGTAACAAACTCAAGCTTTAGCACCTAATAATATCGACTCTCTTAATCCAGACTTTATTTTCACAACATGGTTTCCGCAACAGTCTTGTTCACCATTGCGTAAGTCGCCCGTTGAGCAAACCCTTGACGATGTCCGGTCCCCAACTCACAAATCACAGCGCGTGCATCGCCGGCTCAGCAGCATCCATCGCAGACTGCGTCGGAGAAAACTACGCCGGCGTCTGCATGGATGCCGGCGCCCCTGGTCTCGCCCACGACGGGCTTACACAGAACTGCTGCCAACCTCCCCACGGCTCAACGTACAACGATGGTCCCGGAGTATTCGTAAGTCCACCCCTTCCCAAACGTCCTTGGACCTTTGGAAACTGCCATGAAGGCTTTTGGAGCTAACATTTGTTTTGCAGTGTTGCGTCCGAGGAACCGAAGAAAACATCAAATACCTGCAGGCATGCTGCTCAGGCAGCGGCCAGAGGGACGTCATTTTCAACCATGCCGGCAACCTTTGAATACGGAATACCACAACTTGATTATACAAATGCACAAGCGGGCGGGGCTGGGATAAATAAAAGTTTTCCGATTTTCAAGGGCATAGACAAAAATGGGGATTTCACGACATAGAGAAAAGTTCTGCTCTTTCATATTATAGACAAAAGTACCTCTCAGTCTTGCTAAAAAAGGCAAGCGGGTGTCTTAACATTTGAATCTTTTTGCTTGAGATTTAACTCATGCGGATGTTTCGTGTGTCTCGATCTTTCTCATTTAGATTCTGGTCTCTCTGTAGAGCTGTCAAACGTTGAAGGCTTTACGTATTCCGAATAACAAAGTTACGCCGCAGCTGACGATACCGCCAACGTGGTCCATCATCATGCGAATGCCTCAAGGGAAAGAAATACAGTCGATCATCTCCACGCCGGACGTTTACCTGAACCCTCCTACCCTCGATAGATAAGGTGTACTGGGCGCGTTTAGTAGCGTGTATAGCGAGGTCATCCTTCCAGAGCATGAAGATTCTATCGAGGGTCATATCAGTGGCCAACTCATCGTAGTCCGCGAGTACTTCGTCTGACGTGGCAATGTAGAACCCCGTATCGAGGTGTGCACCGAGAATAGCATGCAGGCTCTCAACGCAGACTTTATCAATGTCTATAGAATATGCCGTCGGGGGAGTCTCCCTCTTCTGGCTCCAGGCGAGAGAGATATGGACATAGACATTGACGAGACGGCGAATTTGGGCAGCGATAGAGGAGCGGCAGGCGTCAACGGCTGCGGCGACTTGGGCTGGGGAGACGAGCATTGCTGGTCCTGCGCTGGGAAGAGTGATATGCGAGCAGTGTATTCACGGTTCTCTTCCATCAAGAACAACAGGGATAACAGTGACGACAGTAAACATAATTTAGATAATGATGTACCAGAAAAGCATAATACGTCTATTCAAAAGCACACCTCATAGCCAGTCCACCGCCTAGACGATTACTACATAAAGTCTCAGTTCGATGCCTGGCTAGCGTCTCTCGTCGCTAAACTTTTGAGCATTTTGGAGACAGCATGAGCATTTGGTTGAGAAGGATGCACATCACCTACGAGAGCATGCTCGAGAGCCCTCGCGCGGAGCTAATCTGTAACAGCATGAAGCAGCCTTCGTAGAATACCAAAGCGAAACATGCCTCATCACAGACCGCTGGCATTTTCCTCTCTGGTCTATCAATGGAGATGACTAGCTATGCGAGAGCCGTCTCCTATCCCACATGAATCTCCAAAAGCATTCAACCGCGGCAACAAGCAAGTGGCGGCAAGCAAAAGCGCCGTCGCGGCAGAGTCCCCGATGCAGCATCAAGATTCACGTATCGGCGCAACCCTTTTCTCGGGCCGCGTTTCCGCCAAGAAGGTGAAATAGATCTAGATAAATCTCCGAGGTTGCCAATCTCTGCGACGGGAATGACATCAACGAACAGCAGGTCTGTGGAATATCGCAACACCTGGACGATTGAAGGGGAGAAATACTGCACGGTTCGGCATGTTGATGGTTCCGCTGGAACATTGGTAGATCACATATTGGTGGGGCGGCAGGTCTTTCTTTTCTTTTTACCTTTTCTCTGGGTAAGGTCAGAAGGAAGAGGCCGAGGATGATGGACGTGTGACGGGTTCCGTCGCTGCCGGAGTCGAGTCCGGGGAGCTTTGATTTGCTCATAGACATAGCGCATGAGAAGGGCAAAAGGTGTCGAAAAGATCCGTGACAGATCATCTGATGGTCCCGTTGTTCTTTGCGTGACCCCAGGCGTTTGCTGCGGCTCTTTCCTCCTCAAAGGTGGACTGTTGGGTTAATTATGAAACAATTGACGTAGGAGTCTGGGCTCTCTTTCGACGCGGAGTCAGCACCCACCGTGTTCATTGGTCGCCTTGGAGTTGTTCGTCTCAATATCCCTGGAGACGTGACTGCTCGGCGAGCGGCCCGAGCAGACCTACCATTATGCAAAGTCATTTACCATTTTCATGGCATATGGCGAACGCGCTTTCAAGATGGGCAACCTCATCCAAGAGTATCGACTCTGAGTCAGAGTATCGGAGAGGTGTCTATCTCGTTGGGTTGAAGTAACACCGCCCAGCATGTTCTACTCGGACATCAACGCTTAGTTTCTGCTTTGTGCCATCAATGTCATAGCTCCAGAGTCATAAGACCCTCCGCTGAGTTCAGCCAAGGTGCGTAGGGTCCTGATCGAGTACTCTGAGAAGCAGAGACATCGCATCAGATTCGCAACAGGATGCGCGGGGTTTTCACTCCATCCCATGGAGCTCAGCCCGTGAACGCTGGGAGCAAAGTGAGGATTGAGAGATATGCTAGGGACCCGAGGATGTCGTTCGAAAGGAATGCCTAAATCAGGCTGGTCGACATATTATTACCTAGCATCGTCCTTTCTCTACATGTCAAGGCATTTTAGATGCACGCCATGTGGACGCCAAAAAGTCGGCTGTATCACTCGTAACGTTGAGGAACTGTCCAAGCTTGCTGGCTTTCTGGTTTTTGCTTGTCGGAAGGTCTTATTGTAGAATGACATGTGGGGTTGAT